AAGGAAGAAGCCTCCTTCCAACCCAAGTTAATTTTTTTTCTGAGGCACAGCCTGGCCTTTTGCATGATGTTCAGATTGGCTTGGAAACTTGCTGTAAAGGAGGCAAGGAAGAAATGCCACACACTGATATCCCCAGGAGCCTTGATATTGTCATGACACCTGACAGTACTTTTGAAGTGCCGCTGTCATGAAGGATTTACATGACACTGCAATAGCAAATAGCACTGAGGGCAGTACAAACCACTTATTCAGAGTTGCTGAGGAGTTTGCCAAATGTCTGTAGTTTCATGACATGGCTTTGTCTCTCTGCAGACAGGCCTTTGGCATTGAGGAGTTTTCCAGAAACTCATCCAGTCTTTCTCAACTACAATTGCCAGTTGCTACCCTGCTAGTTAGAAATAAGAGCAACTAAGTTAAAAATTGAACTCCTTACCAGGTGGTTATTTTGTTTTCACAAACTTATTCCAACATCCTCAAGGATGGAGTCTCTGCAGCTTTCATCCTTGCACCCTTATTTATCCTTTTGGGTGTGAAGTGAACGAATGTTTGGGGATTGCTCTGTGTGCTGCTTGTGACCATCTTTGTTCAGGGACAGAGGAGATACAACAAGTCAATCCATGAGGTCATAACACCTTGTGTCTCTTGCCTGGGAGGTAGGATAACAATCTGCAGTGTGAAACTCCTTTCTCTTCCCCAGGGAATTCTATTTCCATATACAAAGGCCAGCCAGATATCCTAATCTGGAAGTCTGTAATGTGGAAATGAAAAATAAATGGGGTTATTACAGCTATGAAACAGAAAATTCATTAAACCCCTCTTCCACAAATACGCAGGGAAAAGTGATAGTAACCAAATTTTCTCAGTCTAACCAAATCATGGAGCATCACATTGACTAAAGAAAACAGGAGCCTTTTGAAGCTGCTTTTCTAGTAKCTCTCCATCTTCCATAAAGCTCCGAGCCATGCACTGATGAGATACAGCCTGTCTTAAGGAACGAGATGGTGATTTTCCACCCTCTTGACTCTTAACCGGTAGCTCAGGTCTCATGCAAGCAGAAGCTTTCCGCTGGTTACAAAGGGGAGAAAGGCTGCAAATCAGAAGGTCAGTTGCTCTTTTTGGTTTAGCATTTCGTATCTTGATTTCCATTAAATTGGATATCACAGTGGTATCAGAGCCAAGATCACCTAGAAGGGAATAACTGTCTCAAAGAGGTATAAAGTAGTAAAATGATGCAAATGAGCAAACGGAGTACTAGTTCAACTACCAGGAAAAAAATCATTATGGTGAAAGTCTGTTCTCTTGAAACTAGAGGAGCTGATGAGTTTGGGCGACTCAAAAGTGACTTGGACAAAATGTTGAAAAGTATACTACATAGATTTTTCTTACTTGGGTACAATGTGATCTAACATACTTTGGTAATTTCCTTTTTGATCTAATTTCTGGGATTCTAAGATCACTTTAAGAAAAGGTAATTTTCTTGCCTGTCTCACTGTAAACCTTCTTCATGAAGTTTTTTGTCAGTTTTGCTACAGAGGGAGGCATGGGCAGTAATATAGCACAGTGGTATTTTGCAGACTCCAAACAGGTTTCTCATGGCCATATCTTGCCATTGCTCCATTGTAAAATTCTCAGAATACTTGATGGAAGTTTTGCATTAAATTGTAAGGTATTTATATCCAGCTGCTCTTTAGAGGCCCGAGTCATATCCATGCTCTATTCCCAGGGTAGCCTTCTTCCAGTTCTTTAAAGCTACAATTTAGCTTTAGAGGAAATAATAGTCATGCCTACCACACTGTAACTAAAGTATTCAGACACATGAATCTTTTTCTTGACTTCCTATAAAAATGTCATTTGTAGCTTTATTTTGTTTGTTCTGGTTTGACTGTAGTATAAACAAGAGTTTATTAAAACATTAGCTCTAAGTTGCAGTTCTTTCTTGAGACTGCAAAGACTTACAAAAAATATTACTGAAACTGCAGGGCAAAACCACATATTAACAGAAAAATGAATAATGAGTCTGTTTTCGTATGGATTTTTAAAAAAGTACAGCTTGTAGTTGAACTAAATGTACTATTTCTTCCACTTCAGTCAGGAAGCCCTCATAGACTTTTGACAGTGCCGCCAAAAAATTAATGCTTCAGCTGTTTAAAAGATATCAAAAGCTAGTTTGACAATTCTAATCTCTTCCAGGAATTCCCTTTCCCATTTTCCCTCCCTATAAAAACAGATAACAAGATGCTTATATAGTAGAAATGGAAAGTCAGAGCTATTTTACGAAGCGCGGTGCATTCCTTCCAGCCTTAGGAGATGAGGCATGACATCTCCACGACAGGCTAGGAAACGCAGGCACTCTGTTGTGTAAGTAGCATTTGCTTCAAGGATTAACTGCTTGCCAAGATAGCGCAGATTTAAATGTTTCCTAAGCCATTTCTGAGTTTTTATGTAACATGGTAGTGACAGGAGAACTGTGGAGATGGCTGGGTAGGAACTCAAAGCAGTGACCAAGGAAAGACAAAACCAAAGGAGGCAGAGAAATATGCTGTGTGTGCCAGCATCAGCTGACACAGCAGAACTGAAGGCAAGGGAAAGTAGCACCAGCCGGGCTTCTCTTGAATTTCTGTCCTCACTTTTACATGCAACAAGATGAGACAAACTGAAAGGAGATGCCGCTWGAACTTTTGTTCTGAAGTATCTTGAAAAGGCACTGAAACATGGGCTCAAAGGTCAGAAGTGTTCCCTTTTCTGGAACAATTCCCAGGACAGCTGTTAATACTACTCTGTCTTTTAAGACTAATCTTTAATAGTATTCAGTGATACGTATTAAGAAATATATAGTATTACTGTGGCTGTGGTGAGGAACGGTTTGTTCTTCTCTAATGACAGAAAGGAGATTCTGTGTTAGGACGAATGAAATCATTAAAGAGGTTGCCAATAAAAGAGCCACTGTATTTGCAGAGGGTGCCCTTGTGTACAGCAAATGCCAATTAGAGAAATGTCACTTTGTGTGTACGATGGGTTATTACTGCGCAAGCACTTGTACAATTATGCGCTGKGTCAGAAGGGCGAGTTACCTTCACCTCACTGCCATTATTTTAAAGCAAACACAAAACCAGGCACACAAACATCAGGGAGTGTGGCAGGGGAGCAGCAAAGTAATGACTATTTGAAAGAAAAAAATGGCTARAGAAAAAAGAGTCCATGTGGCAAGCCTTGGCATTGTGGGAGATAAATTTTACCATGTCTGCATTATGTGGATTAGAAACATCATCTTTATATAATGGAGAAGCAAACTCTTCCTTCTGCCACTTTAAATACARTTTATACCATTATGTTGTTCTGGTGCTTGGAAATGTKAAGAGATATACAGAATATACATTTMTTTCAGTTRCCTTMTTGRATAYTGAAATGTSTAGTCCACATGCCCTTGTAAAGTTTGTTCACTTCCTTCTGTTGTGCTACCAATGGCCTGATGTCACCATCATCTGATGCACCCTGCTCTCAGCTCCTGTGTGGCTCTGACTGACTTTAGTAAATGGAATAAAGGGCAGCTCTGCAAGTGACCTTGTGCAAGACATGTCCTTGGGTGTTTATTACTTGCACTTGTTTGGAGGGTTCTACTTGGTATTTTGTTTTGCCTGAAGCTTCACTGGATTGAAAGCTAAATAGCAGAATGCGCTGGGGATGCTGTGGCCACCTTGGGTGCACACAGGATAGCTGTGCTGTAYGTGGATTCATAAGTTTTGCTCTAAGGCTATCAGGTTTTTCTTCTTTTCTAATGTGGTTGCCATCTGTGCTTGTTCTGGCTTCTCTCTGGGCCGTAAGAAAGAGCTCAGTTCAGCAGGGATTGAGTTACCATCAGCGGCCTGAACCTTTGTGCTCGCTTGACCTCATAGCTCTAGGAAGCTCAGCTGGCAAACATAGCACAGACCTTTGTGGCAACACCCTCTGGGAGCGTGGGCAGCCACGAAGGTTATCCTGCTTCCATATATGCCGAGGTATTTTCATTGACATGCTCTTTTCAYGGGTTTGAAATCACTGTGGCTTTAAAGCACCAGCTTTCCCTAAAGCGAAAGCGCTGCGCTCACCCGAGGACCTGCTCGAACCCAGGATCTGCTGGGGCAGGACGGGGTGGCAGAAGTTAAATGGAGAGCGTTAGTTTGAAAAATTTTATGAGGTCACCATCCTTTTAAATTGGTTTACACAGATGGCTGTCTGGTTTGTTGCTTTGTCCTTGCCTAATAGTAACTGTTTATGGAAAAACGAATTGCTTTGCAGAAGGAGGTCCAAAAGCTCATGCTGTTGTTTCCCTCACTGGAGATCTTCGTGTTTTTATGGGCATACAGAGATGTATCCTGAACTGGAGATTAATTAGGAAGCATAGTGAATAATTAACTGTTTGACTTGTTCCTAAGCTTTGTAGTCACCAGGTTAGAAATGATTTCCCAAAATGCAGGAGATAAGAGAAGGTTATTCCCGGTTTCACAATGTCCATATTGTTAGGGCTTTGTGCTGTGTGTACTCTGACATCAGCTGATATCTGCGCAAGCTGGGTCCAGCTTCCCATCCAAACCACTTCCTGGGGTTTTCTTGGGTAATGGCAGTGATTCAGAAGATACCAGAGTGCCTCAGCCATTTTTTACACAGTGCACCCAGACTGTGACCATGAAGAAASCAAGTTCTTAGGAAAGAGTTCTGTTTTTAAGAATACCCACTTGGTGTGTTCTTCATTCAGATTTGGATGTACATTGTTTGGCTTGTGTCCTGCTGACCTGTTCACAGATCCACCATATGTATTGTGGAAGATGTAGGAATATGATGTAAACAGACGCAYGAAGCAGAAGCCTGAGGCCAGTCTCCAGGCAGAGACAGTGATTTGGCATCCAAAATTGTTCCTGCCTGGAAGATAATAAAAAAAAAAAAAAACCCAACCAAGTGTTAGACAAGATTAAAATTTTTTAAAGCAAATCAAATCTAAGTAATGCTACTCTGCACTTTTGCAGGACTGTCTACCTAAGAAGCTGAGAGTCAGTTAGGAACATTGATGAAGCCTCTATTCTGTGAGGTGGGTATGTGTTTTTTATTATGATTTTGAAAAAGCGTAGAAAATTCRAACTATTTGCCCAAGTCCAGCCACRGAACTATTTAAGAGCTGGGAATRGAGTCCAGAAATTTTCTGCCATGGCACATGCTCCARTCAACACTTACAAATAAGGTCTTTTGCCTTTCTCTGKRAGGAAGTGATGAGTTTTTGTATTCTGTTAGTATTTCAAGTGGCTCGTTTGATTTTTGATTTGTGACTAATGGAATAAGTAAGTGACTCTCACAGATATTTTGCTCTGCTGTCCCTTGCCTTTGCAGTGGCCTTAGACCAAAGTTTGGGAAGATAACAGTCTGTAATAGGGGAGTCAGTGGAAATCAAACGTGTCCACTGGATCCAGGCCAAACATAATCTGGGGCTCAGAAATGTTCAGTGTGTTTCATTGCTTTTTCATTTTTTAGCATTCCGTCATGGTCAGATGCACCAGCAGTCTTTTAATAAATCCCCTTCCATATTCAGACTTGCAGCTCMGGTTTGCAGGCCCAAGGGGGCTGGATTATTTGAATAAGTCTGAGAAGTGAAACTGAGCATTTGTAGGTGCAGCAATTASAGGCAGCCAATCTAGTGAATGTTGTAATTTTGATAACCTTCGTTATTAAAAGATGCTGCATGCAAAACCGTCAGCTCTGCTTGCTCTCTGCATGAGCAGCTCAGACTGGACCCTCAATGCTTCCTTGTGCCAAGGCTGGTTGCCCACTCCTGCTCGAGCAGCCCCATTCCTGGGGAGCTTGTCTCAAGCAGTGACCTGGAGAATCTGTTTCTTGGGCTCTTGGTTATCTGCACCACTCTCCCTTTTGGCATTGTGAGATAAACACTGTTGAGTGGGCTTCTGCCTCCTGCTTCATGCCATTGGGATCCTGGATTTGCTGTGGCAAAAAATAAATCAGGATTGGAATTTTCTTTAAACTGGTATTCGCCTTTGAAAGCCTTTTTTGGAATAAATTACTCTGACAGTAAGTACCAAAATAGGCATTGATAAAATATGAATTTATGCATGCCAGCATTTATCTCTTTTGTATCTATTCACAAATACGTACCAAAAATTGACTCTAGCTCCATATGGCTCCCAATCTCTTCCCTCCCCCGGCTGTCAGCTTCTCCTCACCTGGATGAATTAAAGGGAGCAGAGTGCTGGGCCATGAACTGAAGGTGGGTGTCGCAGAAAAGTTGCATTCAATATGCTTTTCTCTGACACATCACTGTGGCTCCTCAAGTGCTTCTCAGTTTGGATGGAAAGTGCATGAAAAAGGTGATGCAGTTTGGTGCCAATCGCAGTTTCACACTCTGAAAAAGGAATGAAAATACTCAGAGGGYGAGTTACTTATGTGCTGGGAGCAGTGGTTGTGTAAAAGCTACTATTCCTTTAGAAGATTCTCAGTACACATCATGACCATCAATTAAAGTAATTTTTTAATCTGAAATTTACACTTGACTGAAGCAGAGATGACAGGCCTGCTTGTAATCTGTTCAACAGCGCTATAAGGAAGTTGAGACACTTCCACTCCAAGACCTTCCATTTTCTGAGCATAAGCTCTATTTRTTGTTCTCAGTTCTAAAGTGTTTAAATTCTCGGTCTATGGTGATATTTGTAATACAGCATTTGATTGAAATGATGCAAATGCATCTCTGTAGTGTAAAATGATGTGAGATCTTTGGGAGGGAAACCACCCATTGGGAGGGAAACCACCCATTTCTGCTGCCCTAATGTGTCTGGAGGCAAAAAGCACAGGATCCCCGAGTCTGCAAGGTGGGTGGAGGGATGGCACAGCTCGCTGCCTCACTGCCCACACGGCGCTGCCGGAAAACCTGCACTGGTCACATCGGCACTTTGGTGTCAACCAACTCCTCAAAGCCTCCAAAATGGGAAACTTATGATCCAGTGTTAAGTGTCGTTGCCATTAAACAACAACCCCAAAATGACAGTGTTACCTCAGCTTCTGGTGCTCAGTGGGTGGGAGCCCAAGTGGACTTCTCCTGTTGCTGACATTTTTTGTAAGGGAGCTGAAATGATCAAAGGTGATTTGGAGATTTTTTCGAATTTGCTTTCTGGAACTTCCTTTAAAAACCAAACATGAGCCCACAGCTTTCTGTCCTGTTAGTACATGAATTTTGTTCTCAAATTCAGAGCCATTAGATCAATAACGGAATAAACAGATGAAGAAACAGCTAAGGAGGGACAGAAGACAAAAGTAGTTGAAAGAAAATTTAGATGGTGGAAGGTTCTGAAACAATTTGCCTCTTCTCTAAACTGRGACAAACCGTTGACAACTCTTAAGCAGTAAGATGTCTTACTTCAGAACATTTTAAATGTTGATTCAGTTTTATTTTACATAAAGGTATTTTTATGTCATGAAGGTATTCCAACTCATCTTGTATGTCTTCCTAAATTGTAATTCTCTGGGTAGCACAATACTGTCAAACTGTTAGTGTTGAAGTATCTTGTTATATCACAAGGCCTATTACTTTCATTAATCTTCATTTAAACCAGGGACAAAGTTTCTATATTTTATGCAGCTTTTTATTTCTATCAAATCATTATGTTTTTCATGTTGGGGTTTCTTGAGAGAAAAGTTTGGATGAGTTATAGTTTTAGATTTTTTTTCAATTTTTATTATTCAGTTTCACTTTTTAAAATGAGTAAAATGTGCCATATTTTATTGTCTAGAAACCCCACAGGTCCCTAGAATTACATATTTATGAATGCAGAGGATTTCAGCACAGATAGGGCAGACTTTTGATTTCTGTGAGAATGTTTACAGTTGAATGGTCTCAGAAAACTGCAGCTTTTTTAYGTGTGTGTTTTGCGAATATAGAACTTGCACACGCTCTGAGCTGTGAACCAAAAGCATCAGATTGAGCTAGCAGAGAGGAAGGAATTTGTCTGCTATACAGCAAAAGGAAGTATTTGCTGTATTATTGAAGCACATGGCCTTTTGCCATCTTTGATAAAGTATTTAAGAGTTGTGCACCCAAAGTCTGCTGCCCTCTTGACCCATCATTCATCACTGGCTGTAGATGAGGTAGATGAGATGCAGCTCCATAGGAGAGCCATTGTTTCAGCCCTGCACAGTTCCTCCRAGAGCGGAAGCTGCAGACAAAGCAGCTCCCTGTGATTCACCGTGCTGCTCAGCCTCCTGGTGGGTTTTCTTTCACCTATACCTTTTCTGGTCCTGCTCTGTGCTGGCCAAGGTAGACAGGCATGCACATGAGAAAGCTGTGGGCTCGATCCGCTTTTCATTCAGCTTCACTGGGTGTGAATGAGATGAGTGTCTGGGATTTTTTTTTTCTGTGTTACAAAGAAAAACCAGTTACAATTATCACAGCATTTGCCTTGGCAATGCATTTTAATTTTTTCCCCTTTTGATATTCAGCACTGTTGATAGATGATGCTTAAAATGTGGAATTGCCCATAATTTTACTAGCATGCTGTGAATTGCCCAGTCTTTTTTTTTTTTTTTTTTTTTTTTTTTTTTTTTTTTTCTTTTTTTTTTTTTTTTTTTTTTTTTTTTCTTCTCTGTAAGCAGTTCAGGTTGCAGAGATGCCAGCATCTCCAGTAAGTATGCTAAGAATGTAGAGTTATACTTTGTACTCCTAAATTAACAGACAGGAATAGTCACACCAAACCAGATTCAGCTCCCAGATGGGAAAGYGTCTCCTCTAGCCCAAATTTTAATGACTTTTTACATGAGAAGTTTTCACTGATRTAGCATACTGTGTGATTTCAAACAAATGCTGTCGTGTCTCTGTTGGTGACAGGTGACTTGTAGAAAATAGAGCTTTCTTTGTTTTCAATGACCACCCAGGGCTTGGAAATGTCTGGACATTTASGTAGGCTAACTAAGTAGCTAAATCTTCTTTTATTATCTTAAACTATTTAAATTTAAAAAGGTAATTTTTAGTTTAGCAAATGTACTTTTTCTGAGCACTGGTTTGAAGGATTTGATTCTTATTTAATTTGTTATATATGCAATCTTCTTAGCTTTTACATTCCTGTAAGCGACAGGGGAGTGAGTCTGAGGTGGCAAAACAATACCAGAAGAGTTAACTTGGATTGTTGTAGGATGTGGTGCTGATGGTGYGAAATTTTCTCAGACATTTCTGCCTCCTGACTAGGAAGGGTCTGTTCATGAGATGATGAAATCCATTGTCTTTGGCAGTTTGCCTGTGCCAGCTGGAATATCGTAGGAGATTTTGGGCCCCTGCAAATTCTAACAATGACTGTGTTATGATGAAGTGATGCAGAAGTTTTATGATTTGTTTAAGAGAACACAAAGGGTCTTCCACTTGTTGTGAATGCCTTTACTTGAGAGACACTGCAGTCCACGGCATGGCTTGTCCTTGGAGCTCCTTTACATTTCTGCCATGAAGCCAAGTGATCTGTGCAAATGCTGGAAGGAGAAGTTAAAAGAGGTGTACGTGGGCATTTGGATAGAAATATACCATTCTCTGTAGTTGTACCAGACACTTTAAATACCCTACCTCCCAGTCACTGCAGCTGCTCAGACACTGAGGAGATGCTTTGGATGTCATTACTTTGTGCTGTTCTCCAGCTCATGGTATTTCTAATTTTGAGTGCACTGTATTACCCTATTCCTGTTTATAAATCTTTTAAGTGTGCACATTAAAAAAGTAATTAAATTGTCATTATAATTTATAGTAGGCCTGAAGTCAATCACCTAATTAAATGGAAAAAGCAGAGAGGTAGTAGGTTCATAAGCATTTATTAAGTACTACAGTATTAATTATGCAGGACTTTTCAACCAAGCAAAAGAGGAAGGAATGGAAACACCAATCTAAAAAGGCTTTCCATTGCTGGCCTTCTCAATTTAATAATGTGAGACACCCCCCAACCCCCAGTTGGCAGGACAACACTAATGCTTTCTTTTTGTTAATTTTTAATGAAATTATGATGGGGTTTTTTTTAATGACAATCACTTGCATCATTTTCCTGTAATATTTTTGAA